TCTGCGCAACCCTTTCTGTGTCGGAAGACCTCCTAATCTTCACGGACGCGGCGTTATTATTGCAGGGAATCGTAGAAAGTCGTGGTATGATAAGGCAGAGGCAGATGGGGTCGCGTGTGATTACACGCTGTCACGAGGCTCGATCGGCGCTCGTTTGAGAACCCAGCAATTCCGTGGAGCGCGCGGGATTGTCTCATTGTTTCCCAGAGATCCGCTGTGACAGTGGGTCAAGGGTTAGGAATCGTTCGCCAAGGGAAGAAAGCCAAACACTGCAGCAGCGGCTGGGTTTATCGTTTGCTTTCGAACGAGGACGACGAGACGACGTTCTCGAGGATCGCGAGGGGTGCAAGCGAGACCAAGAATGGCTGTGGTACCCCCTTTTCGTTTCTCCACGTTTCTCTTCAGGATATTAAATATTAATCCCGCGAAATTACTAGTGCAGCAGCAATCTTTCGCTCTCGCGGCAGCTCCTTTTTGTTGGCCACAATCTCTAACTCGCTGGGGCGACCTATACACACGGCGTGCACGTACACGCGTACACGTGGCCGTCGTGGCGCACTAAGCAATGAGGAGTAATCTAGGCGGTGGATTAACCCGGGGTTCAAGATATCAGTCCGGGATTTACTGTGGCTCGACCCGTCGTCGTTACGACTCCGGCGTCGTTTCCCTGGCCTGTCTGTGTTTCGGTCTCTCTGAACCGATGCTGGGCAAATTGCAGTCCGCGATTATCATTATCGAACAAACCGTAATCGCGGCTAGATGGTTAATGAATTATCGAACACGGTTAGCTTTGAAAGATTACGAATTACCGACTGACACCGCGCTAGAATTATTAGCACTCCGATGCAATTGCTTTAAACGTCTCTTTGTATTATAACTCGTGCTACGAATTAAAAATGGATGGAATTGAATGATCAAAGTTGAGAAAATATATTTTGTTTCAATTGTATCACTGATAATGCCTAGAAAATTTGGGGCACTTTCTAGATAGATTTTATTTTAGGTTAACACGTTGACTGAAAATTCTTGAAAATTTCTGTCAGGAATAAATACTATTCAGGCTATTGGAGACTAACTTGTGACTCCAACAAAATTCATGATTTTCATTTAAACTCATTTCCTTTGATGCTTAAATTTCAGAATTAATTTTTTTAGTTCTTCAGTGCCAAGCACTGTCACTCACATATGGGTGACGTGGCGATCAACGTGTTAATAATAATCATTATAATAATACTCGTAATATTCATCGCCAGATTCATCATGGAATTTACATTCTATACAACTAAACTAATCATTCTTGCATTTTCTGAAATTTACATCAAAGTAATCGCAAAATTATCGTCTCTTTGTTCTGCACGCTTCCTCGAGGCGCACGCGCGACATTGCGTTCGATCGCTCGCTGTGGCGCCCATCGAGCGACTGTTCGATCGTAAAACGCGGTAGCTTGCGGGAATCCTTGTGCCGCCTTGAAACGACGGCTTAAATTTATTAATTGGTTAACCGCGGGGATGCGCGCGGATTACAACCGAGTAACGATAATTTCTTTCCAAGCAAATATATCCCACTGCTCGATCCTTACTTTTTTACTCGCTGAAACATTGGCACATTTCATGTGTGGCCATTTTTACGCTTCGTGCGCTGAATCATCTCTGGAGTTTTCTATTTTTCTTCTCCGGTCAGCTCCAATTGCTGCCTAAAAAAAACGATATTTTATGTTGTGAATTTGCTGATCATTAGAATTTTTTTTATTGGCACAGATTTATTATTGCGAATAGAAATACTCGGTTCAGTTTCTCAAACTATGAAATCAGTTTTGTTAAAAATGCGTTTAAGTATGTTGAATGTAGGTTTTATAATGTATTCTTGCTTTCTTTTAAAAATGATCGTGTCAGCGCCTCCCTCGTGAAAGGCGGAACGGATAAGGGGTGGATAAGGTAAAGAGACAGGGCGGGCAAACGGGCGCATCGGTAACAGGACACGTTTCTTGCTCCTTCCTTCCGTTCTCTGGCTTTTCCGTGTAATTTAGATCAACGGGCCGGCGTGCTCCGTTGCGTCCGAGTTAATCCTTTTTTCTGCGGGTTGGAGAGACGTTACGGTAGAATTATTTAAATCCGTTTATTGAAGTGAATGGTTCACGTTGCCTTAAGCTAAATTACCAAGTGAGTATTGTTTCAATGTTAAATTAGAAAATGATATTATATTAATTATCGAATTTTTATTTGTATATTTTTGCTTTTTTCTTGCGTTCTTTTTTATATTCTGTTTGCACTCTATTCTATATTAATTATATTATTGCTTTAAATCACATTTTTAGAAGATAAATTTCACTAAACCGTAACAAAGAGATTGACAATGTGAACGTAGAAGAATCTAATGCATTTCTCTTAAAACTGTGTCAGGTGTATGTTTTCGAGTAGCTACTAAAATATCCCCAACGATTCTTCCAGGCTAGCACTTGAATCTGTGTGGTCCTTGAAACTAAACATAACCATAAGAGCTGCGTTTTGTCACGTACTTCCAGGACCTACCGCTTTGACATGCAATAAATTAGTCTCTAACTCGGACCCTTGACTATGTGTCCCCCGCTACGCGTCCTGAAAGAGATCCTCAGCTTAGTGGCCTGCAGCAATTAGAGATGGGCAAACCCATCGAAAAATCCTCGTCATACACACTTTCTTTTTATAATCTCCTTACTTTTTATTCACCATATATTTTTCCAATAAAATTCTGCCAATCTCTGCCTGAAATTAGAAGGAACCAAGATACTCCAGGTCGAATAAAATTTTCCTTCCGAAACAGTGGAACGTTTATCTCACTGCTGCTTTTCTGTGACTGTCCGAAGATCCACCGGGCGAGTCTCGTTTCATTAGAATGCGTGGGATCGAGTCGTACATAGGAAACAAGACCACGAGTGTGGGAAGAACATGATCGAGTCACAAGTTTCGAACCACGACCGTGCAAGAAAACGCGAATCGTACCGTTCTGCAGTGTCCCCGGTAATTTAGACCTGCAATGAAACGAGCGAATATGCTGGTATGCCGCGACAAACTCGGTCGCAAATCGAGGAACTTATTGCTATCGGTCGTTGAGCGTCCGGGTCTTAATCACGCGCCAGCGACGCTAGACCACCCGACTCACAAATAAGTTCGGCAATTCGAGGACGACGAGGATACGCTTCTTCCAACCCCTGGAAGAGGATTCCTTTTTCCTTCGAGGCAATTTATCGCGGCGTCCTGCAACGAATCCGATTGTTTAATGCGTATCGCGTGTCTGCGAAACGACCCGGGGAGATGCGAGTAGGAGTAAGGTCGATTCTCCCTTTCAGAATTCCGTATTGTTTCGGAACAGCTATTCGACCCCGAAATACTCATCATTTCTTCTTTTTTAAATGAAAGCTACGGAGTAGTGTTATTTTTTATTCTAGAGATCACCTCATGTACTATTGGTTTTTATCATTCTATGCGACGAAAATAATGGAGGAAAAAGTGTCTCGAAGAAGAGTAGTTCAGAGATCAGACAATTAGCTTTTTTACAAATTTAAAAATCTCAAAAGAAGCGAATGGCGTGGTGCTTATTATACATGTATGCATACGAAAAGAAGGACAAGGGGATATATGCATACATCCACTGATAAAGCTGATTTCAAACGGGGTTTGTTGCTACTGAAAGTTATTAAAAGGTGACAAGAAATTTAAATCCTTGTACGGGGTGACAAAAAAAGGTTTTCTTTGGACAAGTGAGATCATATATTGACTAACTAAGCACCGAAAGAGTGTGATTAGAATAAATAAACCATCCGTAGTAACGACAAAAAATGAAGGTTTTTCAGGAAGTAAAGCAAACCCTTTAGAATTTAATTAGTAAGATATGCTCCAGCCTAGCATAAGGTAGCTTTTGCAGCAGTCTTTAATTGAACGAGAAATAAATGCTTCTGTCGAACAAAGTTAGGGCATTTTTTCATCTGTTGAACTGTCTGGTCAGCAAAGCGTCAAGTTTTTGTGAATCTGAAGAAGCGGAAGTTAGAATTCAAGAAGAATCGACGTTGGTTAATGAGCAGTCTTCGCTTAAAAATTTATATTCTGAATCAGTATGCACAACTGATAACTTCGTTTTAACAGTTATACTAACATTGCGTTATTCTGAAAGTTGAGGGCGTAGGATTAGGTTAGGCACAGTTTTCGATTCGCATGAAACGTATCTGTTCTGTACGCTCTTAAAGAAAACATTTTTAGAGGGAAAACCAGCTCGATATTTTCGTTTCGCTTCTACCCAGACCGTAATGGAGTTTCATTTGCACTGTTTTAGCGAGAATCGTTGCTCGAAAGAGAACGGTCGCGTTATGTCGATGCAAAATGGTATTCGCTCCATTTACCCCCGTTACGGGGTCGCCTGGTTGGCTACGATTTACGCAACAAAACCGTCCATTCCTGGACCTTCGGGATTACGTATCTGCTCCTCTAATTGCTTCACCGGAAGCTTCTTGCGCGAACGTCGAAAAGCGATTCCCGGCACTCGAGTTTATTATTCTTCCTCGTGGAGACGGTTGGATGGTACATCGCGATCGAAGATCTAGGGAAACAAGCGGAACAAACGTTAAATAGATGAATATGCTCCAAGTTCGGTCTCGATTGCGCGCTCAGTCTCGTATTTCGCGTAGCAAATCGTTTGTATAAATTAACTGGGGCGCGGTGTACATAAGGATGGATTTATTCCAACGATAACTCGATCCGTAACACATGTATTTCTAGTGTGTCGATGTAGAAACCATAGATTAACGACAGTAACGTCTTTACAAAAAAAAATAATAGTAATACATACGATTTTGCTTTTCAATTTGCATGAATGTTATCGTTTGAGAATGAAATTTGATTATGAGAAAACACGTTTCGAGACACTCCGATTACATCAATAAAAAATGAAATGACATTTTATTCATTACAGAATTAAACCATATTTAAAAATATCTGTTTACAATGAACATATAAGGAGTATATTCACGAAACTACCGTTTTATTACAATAATTATTAGTTATAATTAAAATAATCCTTGCGCAAGAAAGTGTGACATATTCATTTCCTGGTTAACATTACGTGTCCTGTTAGGTTTGTCGAATTAGCGAACGGAGTAGCTGTCCGGGGCGTCAGTAATTTCGGAAAATATTGTAACGCGGGTCTTTAGGAACGTCGTCGGATAACAATTTCAATCTTTCGAAATCCAATAACTCGTTATCGGGCCGGTGTAAATGGAAGTAATTCCGTCGCCCTGAAATCCTCGCGAACATCCCATCGGCCGTTCTCTCTTTTTCACTCCCGCCCTCTGTGTTTGTTCTCTACCTTTTTCCCGGCGGCGTGTCGGGTCGCGCAAAGAAAATCGAGTTTGGTGGAAACGAATGCCTACAAATCCGGTTCTTAACGAACAAAAACTGTCAACGACAGTCTGCGCTGAAATTATTTTCGTCCCCGATGGAGTTCGTTAATGGAGAAACCTCCGCGGCCCACGGAGTAACCGCGAAGCCCCGCGTATATCCCAGTTATAATTTCATTTTCGCACGGGCCTTAATTGTTTTTCTCCCTTCTCTCGAAACCTGGTCGCGTTTCTTCGCCGTCTGTCCTCCCCCATTAACGATCGACCGCGAAGAACGGTGCCGGGGCGGAAGGGGCCCACGTAACAGGGGAAACGTAAAACGGGAAACCTTGTCATTCCGAACGCCTCGAATCAATTTTATTTACATTTTTACGGGAAAGCACTTTGGCTTATACATTTTAAATCGCCCAACGGAGACGGAAGAGACACGATCGGAGCTACGGGCCAAATACAGAGAGTGGAAGCGCGATGGAACTAGTCCCGGACCCGTTTCTCTTTGCAGATCGTTAGCATATTTCCTTCCCGAGGAATATCGAAGGCATAGCCCAAGCGTCGTCGAGATAGCTCCCCGGTAAATTGTGTTCCTACGGTAATTCAGTCGTGAATCTTCCAACCGAACGAGTCGCTGCCGTTTTCAATTACAGGATGGACTTTGATTCGTTGGGACCGGCCAGGCATCGACACGTCGGAGGGAACGTTCGACAACGGATCAATATCGAAATTCTTTTAAGTATTCCAGCTCCAGGGACCTTGGCGTTATGTTCGGATCGAAGATGAAGATCAACAACTCCTTCGTGGACAGTCGCTACTTTTTACGGACGAGGAACAGACACAGCGATAGAGCCGTCGGAAAGCTCGGGAAAGCAAATCGAGCTTTACTCGGATCGCGAGCGGCTAGAATATTGAATATAGAATTGAATATAGAATTTGAGTTTTCCGACAGTCCTACGAACGGAAGAAGGGACGATGGAGAATGACGGTTATGGTCGTCCACGCTTCCTCGTCGATGGCTCCCTGTAGTCCAGCCACGCACTTCCACGTGCCTATGTCCCCATGACTTTTAATTTCTGAAACCGAAAATCAGACCTTGTCTGAGGAACTCCTTGTAACACGCTATTGGGCTCTTATGTTATAACAATAATCAGACACTCCTTCACAGCAGGAGAAATGAGGCTTTTCGTAATTTAGGTATCAGACAACGATAAAATATACAGCACCGCCGATTTGAAAATATTAGAGATACGCGCGTTTTAACAATACTTAGTGAACGATATTTCATATTACGTTGTATCTTGCTGAATTATGCAATTAAACTATGTATAATGCTGCATTATGCAGTATTACGCTCTAACGATGTTCTAATTTTTTTTCTTTGCTCAAAGCTGTCGACACGAAACGGTCAATGAAAAGTTCCACCACGCGAAAGTTCGAACCTTTCCTGTTAATTCGGACAGGACACGGGAGAAGTGACCTCGTACTTTATGCCTCGTGGAAATCGATTTCGTTCGAGCGTGTTCGCGTATATCAGACGGTAGTTGGTATTCCGGTATGAAGGGAGGACGAAGTTTCCGTGAAGGCAGCGGAGATAGAAGAAAGGGAGAAACGAAATTGGTGATTCTTCGTAAGTGATGTTGCGTTTCGCGAGATAAGAGTCTGCAAATTGGAACCGTTTCGGTATTCGTCCTGCGTGGATCTTGAATACCTTCGACCCGGTTCTTACTTGTTTCCGTCTGATTTCCGAACAAACGTATGTGCCTCGGAAACTTCTGCGCAGAGGATGGTGGGAAGTCGAAAGATCTCGCAGAGAACTGTAGCGATCGTAATCATTTAAATCGAGTTCTTTCCGACGAGCAGGGATATGTTTCTTTCATTCATGTCTGATGCATACATTTAATTTATTTTTTTTTTTTTGTATGTCATTTTCATGACACTGTTGTATCCCTTGATTATGAATAAAAGGGATTTATATTGCGTGAACGCAGTTTATAGATGAATACGTGCAAACATACCTTTGCTAAGTAATATTTCGTAACGTTTGGTATATTCACTTTGCATGTTTTTGTTTCAAATCAAAGACGAGCACTCAACCTATCATTGTTAAACGAAAAGGACTTTGAATTTTTACCCCATCCAATTTTAACAACACATTTCGGGTCGACGAATGCATTCACCGATAGAGGTGGGTGCGAAAACAAGCATTCGTGAATTTTATTCACTTCGAAACGACTGACTTTTATGCTCCATTAATGCATCGTGTAGCGATGACGGAAATACATCGAAGCGGGTGATATTTATTTCGATTAAAGATTTTCATTTCGATTAGCGTTACGTTTATTTCAAGTTGAAATCGGAAGGGACTTATTTGACGATCTCGTGTTGCCGAGAATCACTTTTACCGCGATTTTCAATTAAACAAATGAATCTGCAAGGGCGATCTAGAGTGAGACCGTGCCCGCTGTTTGGCGAACAGAATTACATTCGCAGATTATTTAACCCGATATCGATGGAACTGCGCGAAAGATACCGTAAACCTCTAATATCCCATTGAGCGAAATGAAATTTCACTGCATACAGATCCGAGTTAATACCTTAAAAGCACTCGGACGCGCATTAATATTATGTAACGTCGACTAGGATTTAATTTATCAGCCAATTTTCGACGGTAACGCAACAGCGAAGCTGGATTGACCGTTCCGTGAGCGTAAAGTTACACGGATTTAATTGAAAACATGGATGTGTGTAACGAATGTATAAATTTCCGAGATACTTTTATTTACACGGAACAATGAGGGATGTTGTTTACCGTAGCCGTATAATATGTCATTACGAAATATTCTAATTGTTAATCGATTAACTTGAATCAAAGGTTATTCAATTACCAGCCTTTTCGACGACCATTAATAAAGAATAGTAAATTTTATGATTTAGTCAGTGCACGAAAATTATTCTATTTGGCAAGTAATTCTGTCACAAATTTCAATAAATAAATATAAATCTGTTGCGAAAGAATTGCATATTGACCTATCGCGAACATGTCTAGCGAACTCGATGATACCCACGTTCCACGCAGTATCGAAATCAATCATTAGGAAATTAGTTTGACTCGTAGCATAGATTTCCCCTGCCAGGCGAAATATTTCATTGTCCACTCCGTAATCGACGCGAATTGCTTTTCAATCCAACAGACTTGATGTACTCTAATTGATTGGTACCTATGGTTAGTTTGATCCATGTAACCCGTTTTGCATCCCAATTAAGTAGACTTTGTTACATTAGTGGTTACGGTCAGGGTACACGCAGGTGTACTTACCTGGGATAATTAATTCGCATTGAGTGTTGGTGTGGGAGGTCCTGTACCGATGACTTTCGCTTTTGAGAATTCCAGATCCGTCAGGACGGACCCAGCGACAGTAATGAACTGCTCTGTCCGTTACACTTGGCAGGATGCTACATGATAGGTTTACCAAATCTCTATCGTAGGCGTATATTTTCGACTCCCCCGGTATGACGTAGCTATCTACACCCTGTATATACATATTTGATAAACAGAATGTGTTCTTTATGATACGTATGCGAGATCAATGAAGGTTGTTGTACATACATCCTGGTTTATGAACGACTCTGCTCAGAAATATAATTCTACCACTGCATGGAAAAGTCAACTTACTACTATACAACTTATTTATTATAGTCTATTTCACGTGTGATACTGCGTACACATTGTATATTCAAATTTTGAGTCTCCTAGGATATATTGCATCCAAGTTTGACCTCATACAAGAAAATGGCAACGAGAGCAGATTTTATACTTTGGATGAATATGCAAAAAGTTTCAATATTCAATAATAATGTAGAAATCAGATATAACATGTGCAACAACCTAATCTTATCGATGACATCTATTAGAACTTACCTACGACATTTACAGAAAATGATGTACGTTCTTCGGCGCCATTGATGATACCTAAGTTGCACGTCCATTGCCCTTGATCCGTAAACTCAGCATGGTAAATTTCCGCCCCACATTCGCCTGAGCGGAGACCAGAACCCGTATAAGGTAGACTGTAGAGCGTTTGAGGCTGTTCCATTGGGACCTCGGAACCAACAATAATTCAACGGTGCATCCGCGATACAAGTAATCTGGAAAATATTTTATGAGGTACAAACGATATGTTTTAGTCTTTTTAATTAGATGCATTCACCTTACGCGAGAAATTTGAATAGTAACACTGATGGCATTAAAGTTACCTGGAACGATTTACTCTGTTTCACGTACACGCCCTCTGCGTCGATTATGAAATTTTGCGTTCCATATCCGTTCAGTAAACTTGAATCAACGGGAATCGCGGAAACTGCTGGTAAATTGTTAGCAAAATCTATGATGCATTTCCAGATCCCGATATCTTCATCAAGTAATAGACGATAGGATGATCACGCCACAATCATACGTCATTAACCATTTCTCTCGCTGAGAAACGTTGAACGCGCGATAACTATTCGAAAAATGAAAACAAAAGTAATTTTAAATAATGACGATGATTGCTTTGTTATCGAATGAAATGGAACCAAGAGTGATGAATTTAGATTCAAATTTATTGATAGTTTATTTTTGTTACTTTATCCATAGGTTTGGGTATGTTTGCAAAAAAAAAATATTTTTAATCTTTTTTTACAAGGACTAAGAAATAAAGAAAAAATTGTTTTCTGTTGAATGCAATTAGACAACGGCGATTGATTGTTTGGGACGGTGCGATCGCGTTTGAAACGATCGTGACTCTATGAAACGAGATTTATTTAGAATTTCTGGGATTATATTCGTTTTTTCACATTTTTTTTAGCCATTGAGTGCGAGTATAAAGTGAACAAAAATTCAGATCGTCTCATCGATGGGATAGAACTATATCGTTGGGTTGCTTTGATTTACGGGTCAGATCAGCAGCGGGGTGCACTGGTAGCGCGTCGATCCATAATTATTGCCGTATTGTGAACCACTTAGCCTTTATGACTACAACTGGAGTGCATATCCATTCGAATTTTTAAAAGCCAGAAACACTCGTGTACAGCCGTTTGTTTCGGTAAATAATAGTGCTCGCTGCGATAAATAAGAGCGGAGGGGGTTGTTGAGCATGCTACGTAATATAAGGGCACGCTATTCCAGAACGGAGAGGGGTACGTGGCACCTACTAAAAAATGGAAATACACACGCGTGAGAAATAGGAAATGGTAAATATGCACGAATAAAAATAAAAACAACGAGTATACGGTAAAGTTGTGTTCGGTATAATAAACGCGTAGCCGTTTAGCGCTGCCGAAAAGCTTGTGCTTCCGTTGTTGAACAAATTATTTTCTTCGCCATGATTTTCACGGTAAATAGCCGGCGTAAAAGAAGCGCAATTATTATTGCTGGTTGAGAATTGACGTAATTTACTGACGGAAAAATGAAACTGGTCAAATAAACGGCTCGACGCCGACGGTCGCCCGTACAAACATATTCGTGTGTATCGTTTACATGTTTCGATCTTTTTTTAGTGGTTTCTTTGAAGGTTTTTTTTGGCGAATTTATCTGTACGGAAATGATACTGTAATTAGTTCATGGCACTGAAAAATTTTGTAGACTTTCGAGCATTGAAATCAACTTGTATGAAATTTTGAGTTGCATCTACGTAGATTTTAAGTTTCATGGATTTATAGCGTACGCGAATGTGAAAAATGTATGCATTTTTACGAAATAAAATATTAATATTATCACATTAATTTATGAAATATATTCTACATATATTTCGCGCATGTTATAGCGTATGCCACAAATGTATAAAATGCACAGTCTAGTCATAACTTTCGAGCTCATCAGACTTTATGTAAATTTGTATCGTCATCGAAGAAGAGATAAAAGTACACAGTCTGCGTGACAACAGGATGATGCGATAACATGGATGAGAGTAAAGATACAATTTTTGTCTCCATTGCATCTTATTATTATCTCTTCCTGCCTGTGCATTAAAAACTATTAAGTTATATGCAAACAACACAACATACTGTTTTGATCCAATGCCAGGGAACAGGTTCAGTACTTGTCTATTTGGCGTGATAAATTGACGGGATTTTAATTGATCCCAATATTTGTTGTAAACGTGACACTGGAGCTGAATATCGCCATTTTTACACTACTATTCCGCAGAAATATGATGAAAATCGAGAATAACGAAGCGCAGCGTTTGGGTCAAGATTGAGAACTGGTTTATTTTTCAGAAACAGGGCTGTTATATGCATTTTGTGTACGTGACTTTTGGCAGGATTTTCGGAGTGTTATCCTGTTTACAGGAAATGGTCGGAGTTTTGCGAGATGAGCTGGCAGGGCGTAGATTATTGTCTATTTGATGTGCGATGACCGTCGAGAAGTTTTCGGAGTATTATCCCTCATTAAAGCATCGATACGTAGATATTGATTGCATTGTCCTGATGATTTCAATCTTTTATTTGTTCTCTTTCAAAAGTTGTACGAAAACCGAGTTACTGAATGTGTAGTGTTTAGATTTAATTGAATGTTTAAAAAGATGTTCTAAAAATACTTTCTGAACGCGATGTATACGAGCCGTGAGCTTCACCGCGTCTGCTCGGTCTTGATAAAAAGATAAACGATCCATCGTGTTTTCCCTATTCCGTTTTCTTCTCGTGACTCTTGGCTCTGCTTGGAAACGTCCGAGTTTTCAACTGACAGGTTTAGTCTCCCTGTCCGAGACTAAATCCGAGATTAAGTGATTCCATCCTTGACGCTCGATCTACCAAGAGATTTACCATTTCGTTGTGTTCATTCCATTTCTTGTTTACTTCGATACTCGAGTATCCGGTGTATACTAGTTTGTCGTCGATAGTCGCCTGCAGCTTCCATTGACCGCTGTCGCCACTTTGCAGCATTGCGCTGAATCCACACTCTCCGTGTCTACGAAAGTCGTCTCTGTCCACCGTCAGCAAATCAATTCGCGTGTTCTGAAATTTTGATCATGTTTCCATGCAGACACGAAAGCAAGATCAGCCAAGTTATAAGATTCAGATGGTTCTCTTCCTCAAGACACGAACGAAGATCACGTACGTTTCGTGCGATGGCCTAACAGCTGGTAAGATTCTCGAGATCAGCGTCGAGTTCCACATAGACAAAGTTGCCCTCAACGACGATTATGGGGGTGTTCGGTATCACCTGCACCTCCTGCAAAACAGAATAAAATAATTTCTTTTAATTTCAAATTTGAACCAATTAGTCGTATAGTGCGACTTCTTTGCATCACTTAATCTGGTTGGGGGCTTTCGTTAATAATCATTTACATTCGATAAAATAAAATCAATGAATTCTGAATTGAATAATGAAAATAAGCTTTATCGATGAATTTCAGGCGCGGAATGTCTTTTTGAGGGGCTCTTTCCTGGAAAGTCTGTAAACCATTGATCTGTATGATTTATCTTATCTAAAATCAAATTTTTTAATTAATTAAATAATGTCTGAATCTCTCAATGGCGGACGCGCAGTTTATAACGCTGTTACGCTAACCGCTGTATTACGAGCATGGAGGAAAAAAGGATCGGGTGGCCGCCGTATATTTACAGTTTCGCCGTGGTTGCACTGCTTCATCGCTGGACAAAGCGTCCACTGTATTCTCGCGAGGTCTGCGCGGTAAAATGTTATGTCTGCCATTACGTTCAACTACCGCGGCAATAAATGCATTAAAACGTCCTTCCTGCTGCAGGACTCTTTTCACTGCGGATGGCACACGCACTGGACAACAATCCACGTATGCTTCGCGTTCGTTTCCTGATTTTGATTCACTGCTTTCGCGTGCGAAACGAGAATCTACAGGGTTACGATTTAATTATGTCTGTTGCTTCGTAACAATTGAAAAAGTTGCAGGAAATTTTTTTAGTTAAACGTGGCAAATTCTTCGATCGACATTTAATCTTTTCGTGGACGTCAGAAGTGGGCAAATTTTGATTTGAGTAATGAACGACGAGTATAGCGATTTATTCGTGATGTCTATTTAATTGAACCGTTATGCGGACCGAATTTTATTCGTTCTTATCGTTTAAAATGTTTATCGAGATAAGAATTTTGCCCATCTCAGTTGACGATGGCAACAGAACACCAGTTAATTTTACAGCATTATCACCGTCGTATTTGTCAAGCGTTTGCAAACACTTATCATATACTTGTTACAAATTGTTATATCGATTAAAAATCAATTGATACCTGTTCTATATACACTGTGAATGTTTGAGAAACAGACTGGTTGTAGTAATCTGTTATCGTCCAATTGCCGGTGTCTAGTAATTTCACAAAATAAACCAGGATGGAACACTTCCTCTGGGTAGGCTCAATACGATCATCAAACCTACTGTTCCAACTGAAGTCATTATTATATTTATATATATATTCCTTGCCGATATTCGACTTCAGCATACATTTATCCGCCTTGAAGTATGAACGTAGCTCCATTTGTCCTCCATCACGTACGAAGATTTTCTCATTCTCTGAAAACACGAAGTCTGATTTGACGCACTATTGTACGATCACGTTACAAGGTGCCTCTTAAAAACTCGAGGCAAACGTTGTAACACTCGTCACCGAAGTTCCCGAATTGAAAACACAACGCACAGTTTTCGGCTGGATTTAGTTGTTTCACGTCGAAAGATGAGCGCAATAAATCTCGAACAACGCGGAACGCGAGGGGAGCGGAGGGACGGCTCTTCGAGTAGCAAAGGGATGAAGGGAGGATAGCAACGTTCCAACAGAGAAAGGGTGGGACCAGGGTGGATCCATAAATCTATTGATTTACCCGAAATGCCGTTGGCGAATAGCGCGACCATAAGAGTCGCGAAAATAATGAACCGTGTCATTGTGTCCGTATCCACAACGTCTGTGGTGGATATATCGACCAAAGGTTGCTTTTATATGGAGATAAGACACTGACGTCCCTTTCCGATTTTAGCAGACAGAACTGATCATAGTGTTACCAGCGCCTCAATCCAACTTTTGGCTTAGACGTTCCGCTCTATCTCATCTTAAAAATTACAAATAATTAAATTATAAATAATAAACAATATACATTGCTAGCTTGTTATTAAGCGAACGTATGCAAAATTTTATTTTAATAGATGTCGAATAAAAGCGCAGTGTAAAACGCTGGCATTATCACGCTACAATCCCCTTGTTGAAATATGAAATACTTTAATGCGTGAAAATTTTAATACACCAGCAAAATGGATCTTTATCCCGAATTCCGCTTCGCATAGCGGAATAATCTTACGTAGGAACAACTTTTGGGATCCGAATCCGGTCCCTGTAAAAATACCCGACTCCATCGGACCCGAAACTCACAGGTAGACGAACAACTTTATCGAATACCTATGCATGGGCTACGTAACTATGCACACCGTTACAAAAATATCATCGCCAGCGTAGGGGGATTGGATCTATATATTTCCGGCGATTCTCTGAAACAAGGGACTCGTTTCGAAGCGTTAATGGGTTCCATTGAAAGATACCCAAACTCTAAGACAAATTTCTGATACTAATCTACGCGTCGTGACACGATTCTTTGTTTCACTTTAAACGTCATACATGTTCTTCTTGCGGCGCCATGGAAAAATCATATTCTTATCTACAATCTAATATCCTTTACAGTTTAAAAAGATTTCATACAATTTTCTTTACGAATTGAAAATCCCCAAATATTTCAAGATTATTTGTTTAAGAAACGGAATTGGAGATTCATTACAGAACCTCGAGAATCGTCTAGCCAGGGTTCTCGAACATAACAGCCAGGAAATACACACGCGTTTATACACGTACACGCGAATGGCACGATACGAGTCAATCGATGGAGAAGCAAGCGTCCTCCCATGGAAGAATGGAAGCACCAGTTCCAGCAAACTGAAAACCATCGACGCGTTAACGGTGATCGGTTCCCGATTCGTCTTCGAATCACGGCAGTCCCGAAGCGGATTCGCGCTGAGTCTGGCATAGTGCCGCGGCGCGGAAGCGTGACGGCCGCGTAGGTGGCTCCCAGGAAAATCCGAGAAATCATTTCCCCGCTCAATACGTGCGGTCGCGCAGAGGGAAGAAGTAACCGGATTATCGTCGGCGTAAGAGGTGTATCCGGGGTCGGGGGGCACGGGTATCGGAACGGTCCCGCGTTCTTGTGAAGTCGGAAAAGCCCATTTCGATGTCCCTTGTGCCATCAGGCAATCCCATTTGAGATTAGACGCAGGCGTGAATTGTGTTACCTCCGAGTTTGAGCGGATCAAAGGCAAATTCCCGGTTGGGATGCATACGTACGTAATTGATATGCCTGATGGGGGTTTCCAAGTCGGATAGTCAATTACCATAATCTTGTTGCGGGGAGAGGCCAGTCTCTGTCCGTGCCGATTCCATACAGCACGCTTGTATACATTGGGGGATATCAATTCGATTTGGCGAAACGAAAGAAACCGCGGACCCCGTGTACGTATCCTCCTGACCGTCGTTATTAGATTCCGCTTGCGAGGATGTATTTTGTCTGTGCCCGTGTCCCGTTCGTGCCCGCGCCTTTCCCTTTCAATTAGCGGACCGGATACACGTGGTATTAAATCCCTCGATCGTGATTGCGCACGCGCGACTACCGATCCGCTATTAAACGAATGAGCACGTTACATCGGTAGGACTGATTTTCCAGGATCTGCCCCGGTGATGCTTTAATTCGCTGCTAAACCAGCGGATTTGCCGACGATTATAGCTGGCCTGGCGAGCGCGTGCTCCAATTGAAATGTTTAGGCTCCGGCTGTATCGGTCGAGCGTTCGAGAACGACTCGATTTTTTATCGGCTGTCGGCGGTCAGATACCGTTGGATGAACGGCCTCGATCGCTCGGTGGATCCATCTGATGGAAACACGTGTTTTCGAATCGTTACTCGCCATGGATTACATGGCTCTCGGTTACTGGGACTGATAAAACAGTTTGTAAATAATACGAATAACCGTGAGAGTTATCTGGAAGAACGTTAACCGGAGGGCTTTCGAATAGTTACGAAATTCGATTTCACCGTCCGTATTCCACAATTGTGAGTCAAATAAGAGGACAGTGGTGGCCTGGTTTCGACTTGCCTCTCTGAAATTAAGGCAATGTTTAATTAGTCGAAATAGCGCGATTCTCAGCAGGCACTCAATAGTCTCTCTGTGGGACGGTGGGGGGTTGCTGAATGAAGAACGAAAAAGTGGTTCGATTAGAAACAGACATTTATATCGAATGTATTCACGATTTCAAAACTCTTTGCGTGGTTCTATCGAAACGAGACATCCTGCACTTTCCTCCTTGCGACGTTTGCTAGATATCTCAAATCCATTACTTCAACGAGCCGTAATCCTGTTCGTCCTGTAAAAACGTCACTTCGCGCAGACTTTCATGTCCGAAATGATTAACCACTCGAGCCTCAATGGAACGTCTTTAAAAAGGACCACCTACTTAAATGTATACGATTTACTTCGCGTTCCTTACCTATGCAGCGCGATTAGCCACGTTAAATACGGCCGGCCATTTATCAGCGGGGCATAATGGAGACGTTACTTTCGCGCCATATGCCATCTCTATACAATAAGCTGGCGCGCAGTTAAATGGCCGTGGTGCGCAATATGTTCCGAAACGCGACAAATAGTCAGGAAAACGGTTTGCGGAATACACAGTTTATATTTACAATGGGACAATGCACTTTTGGCCGAGAAAGGGAGGGGTGAGCCTGCCAGTTGTGGCCGCAGGCTAGAACGGACACGCTTCGACGTCTATGATCCTAGTGGCCGAATTTTGTGTCCTCCCTGCGACGTTAACGACCCGTGAAGATGGCTTTGACGGCTAGTCGAAAAAACGTCGCTCGTGTTGATCCTGATAAGTCAAACTTTAGCTCTTTTATATCGGCGTGCCATGATCGGGAAATATTCTGCTTGCTGGCTGACACAATCGAGATCGCTAGGAACATCTGCTCTCATTTTTGCAGAATTTTTTATCATCTTTCACTGTTCGTCCTGTTTATACTGCCGCTAAAAAGTATCTGGACACTTGTTATGTAAAACATAGTTTAACTTTATACGAAAGGAATATAGAACCCTTATATCAATTGTAATTATTATTGTTGTCTTTTTTGAGGTATCATAGCATAATAAATGATATAATGAGTATGCAGAAATAAAATTCTTGTCTAGAAATACAAAATCTAATGGAATAGTCTCAATGATTAAAAGTATCTCAAGTTCCACTTTGTTTCATCTCTATGGTGGTAATTCTTAATTTGAAATGTTAATCTAAAACGTTAGTTATTTCATACGAAACTAATACAAATCAATTTTGGTAACTACTATAGGTACTTAAATTGTTATGCAATGCTAATACATGTGTATTTCGCAAGTGTCCGGATACTTCTGAACGGTAGTGTATGTTATATTTATGTTTTGAGCTAGATCTCGAAGAGGCTCGAAATTAGCGATGAGGTTTCCTATGGAAATCGTAGTCGAACCAAGAAGGATTTTAGTTGCCTATTAAAGGAAGAGGATGTATAATTGGTACGATACAGCGGCAGCATTTGCTCTGTCGGAATTTTAAGCGCAATTGCCCGCAGATAACTATGAACCGGAGGCGGTGGTCGAACGCAGCACCAGCGCGATGGCGAATACAAGAGTGCCTCGTATTTCGGGCTCGTTCGTGAATTATTAGGATCGCGATCTAACATTCCATTTGCGTTCCCTAAGTGAAAAACCTCGTACATTCGTAATCGCGGTCGTTACCGGCTGTTCCAAATATTGTTTCGACTCCCACTCGTTGAATATTTAAATTAGAGCGCTCTGTATCTTTTCTAGGAATTATTGTAACGACTATTTTAATTCCAAATCTTAAGAGATTTTATTAGGTTGTCATTCACAATATTTTATCTTTCATGTTACATTACTGAATTGTGAACGATCCATTTTACTCAATTAGTGTTGTAACACCAACATCTAAGAAATATTAGGTTGTTCGTTTGCATAAACACTGACATAGAAAATAACTGACAATGAGTGCAAGTCGCGAAAGAAACTTTTGGGACAACCTAATAGTTCGGATTATATTAGGAATGATTTAAGCTACAACTTTGGAATTTTGAACTCTGAAATTTATTTTATACACAAATGTATTGCCTCCATTCCTATAAGTTACAGAAAAAGAAAACACTAAAAATGTATCTTCAGCCGATATAAGTCTCATTCGATCCTGGCAAGTATAAATAATCGTGTCTCGCCACTTCAATTTTTCTTTCAACTGTTATCTCTTTGTTTTCAACGAAGCACGGCAAGAAGTGGAAGTAGCGAAAGATCCCGAAGTAATCACGAAGCGTTTGTCGTTGGTGCTCGGGGCAGGCGCGTTAATTCTAATCCTGCTAGACGTCCGGCGGCCCTATCATGCATGGGTCTTCGCTAATTTGCACAATAATGGTGTAATTCCAGCGTCAGGAAGATAGCGGCCACTACCGTGTCGCCTTCGTGCTGGCGATACACGGCCGCCGTACGTTCGATAAACACGCCCTCGCTACAGCGTGTATAAACACACCGCGTGAACGTGTTTGCGGGTGAGAGACAAAGAGATAGAGGGTAAGAGAGAGGAGGATCGAAAGGGTGAAAGTGGAGTGTGGGTTGCAGTAAGGGATAGAGGCAGAACCGGTTAGCGGCGAGGGGTTGAAGAGCGCAGGGCAGAATTTAGAGAAAGG